AATGTATTATAAAGCCATTGAAGACTTCCTCCACTGCAGTACTCCATTGTCCTCTAAGGTTCGGTTGCCAGACTAACCAAACACTTCTTCCTATCTTATGTTTCCCCAGTTCTTAATGTGTATCATTAATTTTATAATATTCAATATATCCTAATAAGTCATAAAAAATTATCTGCAGAACAGGGGAAGATATATGAAAATTCTGGGGGCCAGGAAGCCTACCACATCAGAACTCTCATAAAAAAAACATGATTTAAACAAGCCTCATAATACCCTTCCTTCATTCAATTGCAAATTACAAAATGTTGGTAACACAAATTAGTGTTATCAGGTGACATTCCAAAATAGAGGTAATCATAATGTGACAATATCGATAATTTAGGAACTTGTATTTTCTCAACAGAAGAGAGGATCAAAGCATTATCTATCTTGTTAGAGCAACAGATTAAGTGAAAAGAAGATTAAAGAACTGTGTTCTCCCTTCTGGATGAGTCATAACACATCACCATAGGGAACACTGAGAAGTCCTGCAAAGATTATCTGGTTTCCACAGCCTTGTAAAATCACCACAGCCTTTTTATTAACCTTCATGAATACCCCTAGTGTTACAAAGATCATACATTTGAAAAATAACTGGGAAAATATGTTTTAATCCTAGCAAGTGTAAAGGCTGAAGTCAATTTTCATGTAGGAAAATTTTTAACTACATATTTTCATCTGAACTCAGCAATATTAAGGTTATTTTCAGTATTATTTGTGAATTTAATACTGTCCATGACTACTACATCTGGATCCTGGATTTCTGCTAGCTCTCTTAAAGGCTAGACGAACTTCTCTGTGCATGTGCATCTACCTACCTCTTAGAGAAAGGTTAAGCAATAGATACAAGAACACTTTGCAATGAATAAAGAAATCTTCCAAGAATCTTTCAGCTAAGTAGTCAGCAAATGTGCATATTGTCAAAAAAGTTTGATAACTAAACCTAAACTTAGCCCAGTTACATCAAAGATTATAAAATATAACCTCCTAAACTACAGTTATGATAATGTTCCAAATACACAGTGACAGACTGCTTACTCAAAACAAAACAAAAACAGCTTCCACAAAGCCCCATTTTTAAGACTGAATCCTGTACTAGCAACTTTGAAGTAATCTTGTTGTCCCATTCAAAGTACAAAATAACAACAGATCCTTATATGTTTAGAAAAAAATGACATTTTTTAAAGTAGCATTTTGATCAAGTATCTAGAAACCACAAGCAAAATGTACTATGATCCATGGACATTTTGTGCTCCCTGGCAAAGGGACAAGACTAACAAAGATAAAATAACAAAAGACAGAACCACATTCACAAGTTATTTTTGAAGATATTTTTTGGTCACTTTTAAAAATGGACTCTTGTCTTGTTGAATAGGAATAGAGAACAACACCGGACAGGACAAATATGAGCAAGCAGTCTGACTCTATCACGCCCTTCCCCACCCCTCAAATCAGAATCTTTCTCTAGAAGTAACCTGGTCCAGCTTCTTGGTTATTATTAAATATTTTTCCAGAGAGAATTCATTGATTATTTTTCATTTAAATGGAAAATATTTCCCAATAAAGCCATTTTGCTCTTGGTGGAAAAAAAAAAAGAGGATGTAGTTGAAAAAACCATATGTTATGTATGTTATATATACAGTAAAAAAAAATCAAAATCAAAAGTCATTAATCTGTATTGTTAAATAAAATCCAGAGAAATGCCTATTCTTTCCTCAGGGATGTAATGTCTTTTTCAATGTAATGTCTTAAAGATATACCAAGGAAACGTTCAAGTAGGGCAATGAGGCAAAATATGGTCATTTTGTTTATTATGTTTGGCATATGTGTTTTATTAAGTTCTTCTGCTTTAACTAAAGTCATTAGTACTATAACATGCTTAATTTAAAGATATATTTGGCATATAAATAGCAGGTGAAAGAAATAGTATCTAGGTTTTATGCTTTAAAATGTTCTGGGTAAAACAAATAGATGAAACAAAACTGGCAAGATATTGATATTGTTACAGTTGGGTAATAGTATTCTCTCAACCTGTATTTGAAAATTTCTTTAATACAGATCTTAAAAAATTATCATTGAAAACAGCATACATAAAAGCATCCCAATTTTGAAAAAATTAAAAAAAAAATTCTGCAATGTTAAAAAGAATTTTAAGTATATCTACATTTTAATTCCCTGAATTGCTCATAATATGAATAAGGTCTTTAGCAAACGACTATTTCTTTCATGAAAGCTATACTGAATCCTCACTGAGTGGTAGTAGAGAGTGAACTGCCCCGAGCAGTTCTTGCTTACATCATTTAGAAATATTCAAATTAAAAAACCTGAGAGTTGTAATCATTCTCAACAAGAATTATGACACTCTTCCATTATTGTAACATCACTTGATATTGCATTATTGCAATATTTTAATGTCATTTCATTATTCTTAGTTTGCATTTGTGGAAATATATATTTAAGTCGTAGAAACAACTTTTTTTAAGCCAAGAAAAATATAACTGTATATTAAAGATATTTTATCTTTTTTTTGTGGGTCCTGTCTTTCAACAAGTAAATTACGAAGTAAACTGGTTGCTGCTATTGGGAAATGTTGCTATTGGGAAAAACTAGGTAAAGTGTATATGGGCTCTCTCTACTGTTACAACTGCACCTCTCAAAAAATTCAATTAAAAAAAAGTAAGATGGAACAGGAAAGCTAAGTGTTGAAAATACAAAATACAGGCATCTCTTAAAGGATAGGTATTATTTGGTTCAAGTGAAAAGAATTCCAGAACATATGTAATAACACTATCCAACAAACCAAACACTGTAAAGTGTTTCAATATTATTAAATATACATATTCACTGCTTAGGTAGAAATAAGATGACTTTATAAGAAATGGTTATTCCAAGGAAAAAAGCATTCCCCCCACCATAAACCTTTCACATGGATACACAAGTAAAGCATCATTCATGAATAAAGTAAAAAATCCCTTGCCCTCTTTTAATTCAAGGTGATATTTAAGAATCAGCACATTTCTCACCTGTGCTACAACTTCGATGCCCAAGAGAATATTCTAAGAAAACTGAGAGGTCAGAATAAAGGATAGAACTTTATGTAGCGGGAAAGAACAGGTATGCTATAACTGAGTTTTGAGTGATTAGTAGGGTGAGCATGAACATACACCTCCTTCTCATTCTTTTGTATCCTAGGCTATGCTCTGGGATACTGGGTAACTCAAACCTTTTTCCAAGGGGGGGCGGGAAGGAAAAAAAAAAAAGGTCCATAAGCAGAAAATCACATATGCTTTTATTCCACTTGCTCTTCAAGCTGCTGTTGTCACAGCTACACATTGACACTGCTAAAAACTCATTTGACGATAACCAAAAATCCATTTTTTGGTTCATGTTTTCTCCCTAAGTGATCCTCATATAACCCACATCCTTATGATGAAATAAACTATATTCTCACAGCACTAACCACTATAGTTTATCTTCAAATTTTTAGATATACCAAGTTAGAAGAGAATGCCCTCCACATGAAGGAGGCCTTTGAATCACAGACTTTGCACAGGGACAAATTCTAAACCAAAAAGCAGGAAGCTCCACGTTTTTGAATCCTAATATTCCCAACAGGTCTCACACAGAATACTAACAGTTTGCTCAGTTAAATTCAAAGTTAAAAACAGTTAAAAACTAATCACCTTTTTCTTGAGGGGCATGATTTTAAAAATCTGCAAAACACATTAGCATCTTAACATTAAACTGAAGTCAAACTGACAAATTTCCTAACAAAGGAGGGAATTAAATTTTTTTAATTTGAGAAGAGACAAATTCCAGAATTTTTTATTAATATCCTTATTTAGCCTCACATATGCTACCTCAGACACTCCTATTTATCAGGTAATAGGCCAAAATATGCTTGAACACTTACAAAACAGTTTCAATAGCTTTAAATGCCTTTAGTCACATCAGGTTAGAAATTAACGGTATTTTACCAAAACTTAAATATTTTCCTGTTTTTGGAATTTGCTTTTTTATATTATTCTAAATTTCACAGTAAAAATAGGAGCATATCCCAATGTTTGGACACTGTGCCTTTGTGGGTAATTTCACCAGCCCTAGGGAAATGCAGATTAAAATAACCATACACTTAGGGGTTATTTAGAGGTACTAATTTACATATAATACATATGAACTTCAATTTAAAAATTCCAATTTAAATATTAGAAAATATTTAAGGATCTGTACAAGCTTTGTTTAACAGAGAAAAAATAGCTATCTAAAAATAAGGGAATTGTTAAATGATGATATATTTTCATTTTGGGGACATAATGTGAAAGTTGTAAGTTGAGGTCAATATATAAATATCCCTTAGGGAAGATGTAAATGACATACTGTCGAGTCAAAAAAAGGAGCAAGTGGGCAGTACATGTTAAGTATGTCACATTACTTAGAAGTACACACATACGTCTATGTTACCAAATAGTGGCTACTTCTGGACTTGGAGGTGTATAAAATGGGAATCTACTTTTACCAACTACATTTCCATGCTCTAAGATTTAATAACGAGGCCTTTATAAACTTTAAAACTACTAGTAGAAAAAAACTAACCAATTCTTCTTGTCTTTGGGGCTTCAATTCAAGACTTGAGTTCCCACCTTACTGTGACAGACACTATTTCTAAGAGATTCCTTCTTTTAAGAGTGTCCAGACAGCAAGTCAATGGTGGAATTGGATACTCTGAAAATGTACTGTAGGCAAGAAAAACTACACCAGGCACCCAGAGGCATAATGCATTCCACCCCTGACATTCTAATGGCGTAAGAAAGGTAGACAAAGATCTTTCTTATAACCAGAGCCCACTACCAGCAAGTGATGGTCACAGGGTCCAGAGAAGGTGACAGGTTGGGAATGGGCTAAGTGCCTGGCACAGTACTCAACCATGAACAATTTACTCATGCTTCAGAGCCTTTTCATACCTTCAAAAGATGGCCAGCTGACAATTAGCATGGTTTCCTCCCTATTCTTCTTCCTCAGTAGAATAAAGAATATTTTCAATAGCATTAATGAATGTTAAAAAAATTCCTAATACGATAAAGCAAATGTAATTAACAGTGACTACAAGATTCCAAAGTCTTGCTCTCTACTGGGAAACTATGGATGGGAAGAAAAATACAACAAGACATTGCAATTGTGGGGATCAGATAGGTTACTTCCAGGTCACTCATCAAAAACCTTTCATACTGGTGGATGTAGTCAAAATATTTAATCTAAATATCTTATGAAGAAAAAACAAGGCCTGGTATAATTTTTTAAATTGAGCAATTATGCTTGTGCCAAAATAAAATTTTTGTTTTAATGAAGTGAACTGGTTATGGGCTAGACAATCTTTTTTAAATGTTTAAAAGGAAACCAAGAATGAGAGGTCATTATTATATATTCAAGTTAGAATCACTGGCAATCAGACTGGGAAGGGACTCCAAAAACTTGGCAACTCCCATCACTTTATAAGAACTAGAAAGTTTAAATGACTTGCTCTGGTTAAGAGATGAGACTAAAACTCAGGTCTTCCAACTTCCAGACCAACAACTTTCTCTCCAACTTACCTTGCAGCCTCCCAGAAATTAAGCACAACTACAAAGAATCAGATTTAAAATGCTAGATCTAATAATCTCATTCTAGGCTTGTCAGTACAGATTTAAGAGGGGAGGAAGGCCCTATAAAATTTAAAAATAGTTTTTATTTATTGTGGGACATAGGAATTCATGCTGCCTAAAAATATAAATGTTCTCCAAAGAAAAACTGAAGGAACAAAACAGCAGCACAATCACAGAACCCAAGAATGGACTAACAGTTACCAAAGGGAAAGGGACTGGGGAGGATGGGTGGGAAGGGAGGGAGAAGGGTGGGGTAAAAGAAAGGGAGCCTTACGATCAGCATGTACAATGTGGTGGTGGGGGCACGGGGAGGGCTGTGCAACACAGAGAAGACAAGTAGTGATTCTACAGCACCTTACTACGCTGATGGACAGTGACTGTGATGGGGTTTGTGGGGAGACTTGGTGAAAGGGGAGCCTAGTAAACATAATGTTCTTCATGTAATTGTAGATTAATGATACCAAAATATATATATGTTCTCATTATGGATTTCCCAGTTTTTTAAATCCATTCACATGACACTGCCACACTACTACAACGATTACAATGCTACTTACTTAAGGCCCTGAGATAGAAGGAAAAAAGGATAGTTGTACATACAGGTAATGTAAAAAAAGATCATGCTGTCAGTATACGGTTAAAAGATGAACTTATTTCAGTTTATGTTGAAACAACCTTCTTGGTCAGAGAGATATGACAGAAGCTATTGCCTGCCATGCTAACTTTCAATATGGCAAACAATATTCTTTTGTGAACTCAGACACTGGCTATTAAAGGAGTCCTTTGTTTCTGTCCCTCTTCCACCAGAATCTTACCTGGGATAGTATGCTGTGTAGTTCATGAAGAGCTGAGTGCCTGCTGGGTAGTATGCGGTGGAGGGCTGCAGTGCTCGTGGATTCAAAAGCACAGAGGGCTGATAAATGGCAGCTTCTGTAGGAATAACTGCCGCAGGAGCTGGAAATGTGTAGGAGGGAGGAGATAGGCCTAAATAAGCAGAGAGAGAGACTTTGAGACATTCTAACAGCTGATATGTGTGTGCTAGTACTAAAGCTTTAAGGTTACCACCCCACACACACATTTTAAAGAGAGACCAGTCCTTTATACTGCCCCAAGCAATCTCCTTTTGATTTTACAGATAACACCTAGAAGTAATCTCAAATCTCATACTCCAAATTTAAGAACCATTCTTAATCTGAAATTTGGAAAAACGAGTAACAAATGGACTTTTAAGTCTTCGTAACATGTGACCTTTTCCCCCAACTCCTGAGTCCCAGTTACCATAAACTAACTGCTTTGAGGAAATATGGAACTCACATTTAATAAAACCTCAATGTCAGAGCTGGGTTTTCTGGGTTTTTTTTTTAAAGCTATACTGCTATTTCATCTTGCTACCTACTCTTACAGCAGCAGATGAAAACTGCTATGATAAAACACTAGTCATATATTATGCCAAAGCACAGAGTGTACCAGAATGAACTGACCTAAAAGGAGATTAACTCTGCCATTTCCACCTAAAGGCAACCCAGAAGATGGGCTAATCTACATCTTCAGACCTATAAAAGAAACAATCCAGCCTGGGAAATAACCCAGAAAAAATATATGTGCAAGTCTGAGAATCAGCTGATAAAAAGCTGACTCAGTTTAAATAGAAGTAGAAAGGATGAAATTACCTTGTCTTCTAGTTATTCAACATCTCTCCCAGGCCCAGTAACTCACTTAAATTGGACCAGCTGCTGGACACGAGCTTGCTGGCCACATGTGGAATGAACAACTATACAACCCATTTGCACCCAACAGAAGAGATAACTGAGAGGTTGCCTGAATCTGCAGTCTCTGGCTTTAATTTTCACACCCAGAACCACCTTATATATTTTGCAAATAGCAGAGGCCCAAGGGATAACTTTTCACAAGAAAATCCCTATTTTCTTTTGCTCTTCTTATGAGTTTCTGCATGTCTATGGCGATGAGTAAAAGAGTCAGGAGAATATGGGTATATGAGCCAAAGACCAACATAGTGATCTCATATTCAACTTTTGGGTGCCTCCTTCAACCTCAACCATAAACTGTGCTACATGTTAGATACCTAGTATAGATAAAATTTTAAATTACAGTCCCTGGCCTTTAAAGAACCCATAAAAGGGTGAGCAGGACGAGACACCTCAGTCATATAGAAAATTATAAAGCCTGTGCCCATATCCTGCTTTCAAAACTATCAAGCAATTCATTATACAACAGTGCTTCATGCCAGTAAGACAGGCATATATAGTAGGTATAAGTCTGTTCTGCCTCAAAGAAGGGTAGAAATTTGATGACCGAATAGATTAGGCTGCTCAGCTATGGGTACTCCTCAAATGAAAGGACAGCTATTCTTATATTCCTAAAAGAGAATCAGATGTGTATATTCAGATTAGAAAAATGGAGTTAACCTTAAAATGTTCAACTTTTTGAAAACATTAAAATTTCAACAATTTAAAGCTTAAAACTTTAGAACAGACTTATCACCATTTCTTTCTCAAATTCAACAAGAAATTCCTCAGTGAAGAATAACCAATCACTATTTATAAGTGATATTTATAATTTAAATAGTGATAACTATTTATAATTGGTTATAAGAATAACCAATAACCAAGGATTGCTTCAGTCCTTGAGATTAGGTCAAAAACACATACAACTTCTTTAAGTGTTTCTGGTTGCTGTATAAACAGGCAATCACCTGAAGGAGTTGGCAGGAACCTGTCCAGTAGAACAGGCATAACATGTATATACTGGAATTGATTTTTTTTTTTGGTAATGAGTAAACTCTTCCACTAGTCAAATGACAAGTGGCCAAATCTGAGTTTAATTTTTTGGAAAATATTGAAAGTAAAGATATGGAAACCTATTTTTTACAGGGAAAAATGCATTTTAATTTTTTTCTAATATTTTTAGGGCTTGTGAGAGGAAAGGGGAAGAAATTACAGTCTTATGAAGAAAGTCTGTAATGGTCAGTGTTCTACCAGAAAGAGAAGGAAAAAGCTGTTACAGCAGAAGAATCTGGGTTACACATCGAGAAATTCCCTTATTGCACAATGCTTGACAGATAGATCAACACTAAAGGAAATCGTAAAAGTTACTAACATTATCAGTGGTTTATGGACAGAATACATATGAATAAGATTTAAGATATCCACTTAAACCCAATCATAAATTTTCAAAACTTGATAATCATTAGTGATCAACTCTTATTCACCAATAACAGCAAGCAGCAGATAAATGGAATATTAGCATTTAGGAATTCCAAGGGGAAAAAAAGGATTAAGCCCCACTGAATGTTCTACAAATACTTTAGCAAATAAGTTTATTGGTACAGATCCCTCTTTACTAGGAAGTGACATCCTAACACTCCCCATTTTATTGGAATCAAGCACATAACCCAGTTTACTTTCTTAGTTATCTTTGGACTTTATTCCAGGTATTCCAAGTGCTACCTTCTTTAAACATACTCAACACGCCTCCTAACAAGGTATGTTTTATTCAAGTGGAAACTATATAAAAAAGATCCAAGTTTTAATGAAGATCCCCAAATGTTCCATAGTCACTAACCAGACTTGGTCTTCAGACTAAAGGGCTTATTCCTCTCATATAGGATTCCAGATGGCTTGCACCCAGGTGCCAATGAGCAAGAGAATGGCTTGAAATTAAGCACTGATCCTGCGATCCAATGGGAACGTTGGCTAATTTATTTACGCATTTACATGTACATGTATTTTTTATGAACTTGCTCTTTCCAGATATCCTGGAGAGCAAGAGAATGCTCCCCAAGTTATCCTTTTCAAAAAAGTACTTAATACTCAAAAAATTAAAAATGCAAAATGGGTATCAAATCACCCACGTGAAAAAAGGAAAAAAAAAGCTTAATGTGTTAAAGAAAGAAGAAAAAAATAAAAGAGAAGAAAAAGGATCCAGCCATACTTATTTTACCTTTAAATGCGTATTAAAATATCTACATAGCCAGGTTGCCTCCCAGAGTCAGTGCTTATCTTGAGTACACTAAGCTTCAGAAATCAAATGCTTACCACTGGAAAAGCAAGAATATAATTTGAAAGGGGGTGTTTGCAGCATCTCTAATTATGGGTGTCCACAACCAGGGACTTAAATGATTACCAGATACTACAGATTTAAGGAGGGAAAGCCTTATATAACCACCTCACCTGCCTCAGAAAGAACCAGGGGCACAGAAAGTTATGAAAGCAGCTTAAGCACCTACCAGCATACAGCGTAGAATAGCGCCAAGACCCAAGAAAAACTTACATGGTAACTTACATGGCGGTGGGGATAAGCCATTTCGATTTAAAGTGCCCCCCATTAACACAAAGTTCATCTCCTCAGCTGAACACTGAAAGACTTCAACATATCTGTCCTTCATGGTTTTTTTATGACACTTCTGTGCAGCCATAAATGCTCTGTCCGCAGACTTCATCTGGATAAAGGCATCTCCTGATGGGCGGCCCTGAGTGTGTGGGGGAAGAATAAAAACAAAAGGAGACTGTCTCCTTCAACAAGGAAATGGTTGCTTACAAAACATGCAAAGTGACAATCACCCATAGTATAGACATTTTAGCCACAAAATCTGGGTGACAGTGTGGTCTACTGAAATCTGACTTGCGTTTCATCACCTAATCACCAGAATGGCCCACAAAACCTTGAAGAAACAGTTTTGAGGGCTCACAGCTGAAAGTGATCCTTTTGGGTTTCTATTAATTAGTATCAGATTTACAGGGTTTTGAAAGGGTCTCCTTGTGATTGTGGTTTTAAAGTATAGGATCATATATTGGGGTTTTTCCTTTCTGAAAAATCCGATTAAATCTTATTTGACTGAGAAAAGCTATTCACAGAACCAGTATCAGAGCTTTACGTATCCTCCTACAGGAAACTGGACGAACCAGTGTTCTCTTTTGGCTCTCAATGCTGCCTATCACTAACCCATCTCATCCCTTTCCCTTCTCCCTGAAGCCTGGATTAGAATGTGGCTTGGGGATTGGGAGAAGGGGTAAGTAATTAGGGGTAAGTAATTAAAAGTTGCGATGCACAGTGAAGACTGGTGAGGGTTGTTATCAGTCTTGCTTGGCAGTTTTTCTCTATCTGTTCCCTTGCACCTCCACTTTAAACCTTGGTGAAAAAGGTGTTGATAGACATTTCCTCTATTACTAGTAGCTTGCTAAAAAGCTTATCTTAAACCAAGCTGGCAGATTTCTGTTCCATAAAATTAGAAACACCTTAGTTTTATTTGGCATGGACATTTTACAGGGGACAAAAAGGCACAACCAGCTTATAAGATTCCTTGTTTCACGGACTTCCTTAAAGTCCCTAAGGGACTATTCAGCGCAAATTATGACCATGCAAGTTACCATCAGAGTTATCATACCAGGGAAATTAGGGATACCAGGGAAACCCAGTCCAAGATGAAAACCTAACATCTTCTAGGCAGCTAAGAGCTTGTCCATCATTAAAGAAGCATTTCTCCAAGTGCAATCACCATAAGTCACGTGGGTCAGTGAGAGGCAAATCTGTCTACTGTTGTTAATCAAAGAGTAATATTAGTCCCTAGGTTATTAGAAATGGTGACTCAAAGAGAAACCAAACAGTTCCCTGGTGGTGTTGAATTGTGGGAAATTTTATTCAAAAAGATTCCCACCAATGAAGCATGCTGAGACAGTACCTAGTCAGATAAAAAGTTGCATAGCTTAATACTGATGTAAGAGTCAGGATGAACATGTGCTGGTGAAAAAACCAAGCAGGGGTTCAAGATGTTTTCTGATTCCTCATCCCCAATGACATGCACTCTCCAGCAAGACAGGATGATGGTTATGAATATAACCAAATCTCCATGGGAAAAGAGAAAGTGGGAAGCTAGCAATGTGGGAAAACATTGGTATTTCCAATACAGACATATTCAACCCATAATGCTCAGGAAAATCTTATTTTCAAACTAAATACAACTTTGCTTTTAATAAAGAGCTTCAAAATTATAATTAGAACTACTTGGTTTATGGGATTTTAGAATGCTGCCCTGTTTATGATAGCACAAAATATTGGCAAATTATCCAACAGCTAGTATGATTAATTTTATTTAAACAAAAACCAAGGGATATCAAGCCAGAACTACTTTTAGTATACACAGCATACTTATATACCTTAAGAAGTTGGTTACATTTTGATAGAGGCTTCTCAACAATTAATTAATGCATTTGAGTGGCTGTTATGACCACATACTGTTGTAGGTGGGACAGATCCAAGTCTTCAGTGACTTTACACTACTGAATGTGGTCTGATGCCTAACATATATATATGAAATAAAATAAGCCATTTCGAAACAGTCTATGGATACAGAGTACTCTGCAACACAGACATGCTCATTGGTTTACATGTTGCCTAGGAATGCTTTCACACTGCCTCAGATTTGCAGAGTCCAGTAGGTAATGGCAAAATGTTGTATCAGACTGAATGTATGTCTCTTACCTGATGATACTGATAATTTGATGGATATATGTAATGATGGAATCCGAGCTGAATTTAAATTACCTTGCTAATGAAAGCATTATTTCTGGAGTTCATTTTGAAGACCTCTTAACATTTACAGTTAAATCTTTCCTTAAAGACTATACAGCTGATGAACATTTGTAACATTTCTAATTTTCTTTTTTTACTTGGAAGAGAGACTTTGATAATCAGAAAGAATAAACAAATCAGTTTTCCAATAATCATCTTTCTTACCTGGTGATTCAATACCATGTGAACCCCGTGAGTTCGAATATCTGTGGAAAACTCCCCCAGAAAGTCGAGGATGTCCTCAATTGTGGCAGCATATGGAAGACCTCGAAGGCGTATACAGTCTCTAATGTTTGTAGGGGGCACAAATTGCTGAGGTAGTACCGGAATAATGGGAGGGGTTGGAAGTGGAATAAGAGGGGCCGAAGAGAATCGATTCAGCACCTGTACTCAAAGCAAAACAGAAGTGATTTAGATCCTTGCTATTCCAAGGCTGCCTGCAGCCCAGCACTGGCTGGTCTCTTAGAAATGCACCATCTCAGCTGCACCCCAGGCCTAGTAAATATGAACCCGCATTAACAAGATCCCAGGTGACTGAGAAGCATATTAAAAATTGAGAAGCACTCATGGAGAAAGTCAAATGCATGCTGAGGCACTCACTACATACAACCCAACTGCTTAGATTAAGGACTTGTCTACTGGACAAATGCATCACCATGTGCCTTGACACAAATATCCTTAAAGTCTGCTGCTTTTATAAAAATCTGGACATAATGCTAAATGTGGACTTTCACAGCAATCTATTAGATTTCGTTTCACTAAGTAGAGTGTTCCCTTTAATAATGTCTTTACATTCTACCTCCAAACCCAAGAAATATAATGACCCAGCAAAGAAACCATAGGGCAAACAATGACTCTGGACTATATTAAAATATAATGCACTTTTATAATGTTGCATAAAGCACAAGAAAGTTGGCTGGATAATACAAAACTGAATGAAATCACTGTGACCACACATATAAATCAAGTATAAAAATCAAATGAATAATCATAATTGACCTGATTGTGTATAGTTCATGATGCGTGATAAACGGAAAGTTTCTGTGATGACTGCCCTTGCACTGTTCACCATGTAAGAACTTATTCACTATGTAAGAACTTGTTCACCATGTAAAAACTTGTTCGGATAAAAAAAAAAAAATCACCGTGTCTATAAGAAAAATCTCATTCAGTTTCCATGTGAATTTGAGTTGCAAGACAGAGGATCTTCAGACAACTTTTAAATTTGTGGAATTCAGCTATCTTGCTAATGAATGAGACGTCAGATACATTTTGGAGAAAGGCAAACACATATTACAAGGTTCTTGTCTACTTTTGTCTTAGTTTAGAACATGCCTATCAGTTCGCATTACTGAGGTCCTTGGGCAAACACCACGTGTGGCATCTCTAGGTTTTTTTATCTTAACCTGTAGCCTGTATCATCCCATAAACTGAAAATATACATTGAACCCATCCCCAAATTTGCCCTAACCTCCTCACTCACCTCCTGTTCAGTTGCTACCTAAATAAGAGGTAACAAAAATCAAAGAACCAACATAACAGCCAAAGAAATTGCATGACAGAGACAACAAGACTTCTAAAAAATTATACAATCCAGACACAGCACAAACATCAGGGATGAACACGAATAAAACGTCAATGTGGTTATAGACAAGCTCAGGACAGGAAACGGTTATGCACCTCACAGTACTTGCTAAAGAGCAGACAAATATTTATTGAATGAAGTGATTATTAGTAATGAAAAGACAACAATGCAGAGCCTATGACTAGTTCAACATTTGTTAAATAGAACAGTAGGCATGAGGGGTGCCAAGGAAAATCATCCATATCCTAAACCCCCTTAAGATAAAGTCACATAGAGGCAGTGTGCTCTGCACACAAATAACACAGTTGCTGAGATGGGGCAATCCACTCTAGGCCATGATTCTTTAAAACCATTCTTCTAATTAAAGATCTAAGCTCTTTATTTTTCCCCCCTCTAGTTTGGAATGGATGTATTTCAAGTTTGAAGCTTCAAGCATGTCTGGCATATTCTAGAGATTCTGAATTGATGATACATATTTTTTAAAAGATACAGAATTTAAACTGCAATTACATTTAGGGCTCAAGAGAACCAGTAAAACAGGATGCAAACCTAACTTAAAACCTTGCCTATATTTATTCTAGGTATAAAAATCATCTTAGTATCCTAGCAGGAAAAAGGTTCTTTTTAACTTTGGGCAATTATTTTAAATCACAATATACCATGGGCTTTGCAGCAGCTAGATGAAATCATTTTCTAAACTCATAGAAATAATAGTACAATGTCCTAATTGCCTGTAAATAAGATCGAAGTAATCACTAAAGTGATTGTTCTTCTACAGACCTAAAGTAGAGTTAAGTTGAAGAGTCATGCCCCACAGTCCACATAATCCCAGTTACAAAGGAAATGCAAACTGACCCCTCAAGAAGAGGAATGTTCAGCTGGCTGTGTCAAGAAAAACAGCCAAAAGGGTTGAGACCCTACAGATGGTTCCATGCCTGGATTTTAGGACATTCTGGGGAACTGATTCCCCCATATGTGGTTCAAAATCAACTCTGAATTCTGAAAGGTAGTAACAGGAAAAGAGCACTTTACACTGTCAGAAATAAATTTCGTTAAGACATTAAAACCCTTAAGCGCTCACCCAACTCTAAAGAAATCAACCAGTTCTAAAGAAACAAATCATAAATTGAGAGTTTCATAAGCATGTCTATCTAGAAATTTCTTCTAGTAGGGGGGAAAAAAACTAACCCAAATGTATAATAGAATTTCTAAATAAATTATACTTCTCCATGAGACATAGTATTAAAGTGAAATTTTTTAGAGATGAGGGAACTACATAGCCAAGATATGTAGTTTTTAAACAATATAAAAGTGTGTCTATAGCAGTATTCCAGTTACATAAAAATATATATTTTTTCTGTGTGCATAAAAGATAATAGTGGCTATATTTTAGTTATGGAATGAGATTTTTTAAATGCACTTATACTTTTTGTATTTTTCAAGTTTTACTAGAACACGATGAATAATGTAGGATTCTCTTCAGAAAGAACAGAAATTCATACAAAGCCGCTAACATGCTCTTGAAAAACCAACCTGCTGAACTTCAGCTGCTGTGCTCCTGAAGAGTTCAATATATCTTTTACCCAGCAAGTCCTTGTGCTTCCTCAATGCGTTCTGTGCATATTCCTCACAGGCAAACAGGACAAAAGCATCCCCTGTTGGCCTACCGTCTGGGTAGGTTACAAAGAGGATGCCTTCCTTTCCCCCTGTGATGGGGCAATGCTGTCCAAAGAAGGCCACTACTTCATCAGCTGTGGCTGTGAAAGGGAGGCCCCGCATGCGGACAATGACTTGATTTTCCTTGGACAGAAACTGGGCTACCTCATTGGATGTACCTAGGGAAAGCAAACACCAGGGAACATGGGGAGAAATGGTTAAGATGTCAATTTTCCCAAATTTAAAAATGTAAAATTCTTGGCAATGTCTTGAGTTTACAATTTAAATTCACATTCCCCATGAACTCATAACATCCCAGGGATTGAAATTCTCTTCCCATAAATTTGAGACTTACCCCCTACCACTATCATAAAACACCTCTCTTAATTTAGGAAGATTGCCAGACAATCAAATCATGGACCAACCATGCTATTTCTCTCACAGAGAGGTAGTAAGTCATCAGCGTCATGAAGGGCCTAAGTCCAGGAGCTGGATAGAATGCCTGGGTCCAATCTTGGCTTTACCATTTACTAGAATATGACCTTAGTCAAGTTTAACCTGTGTTAAGTTTCTTGTCCATAAAATGGGGGTAAAATTACCTGTATCTCATAAATTATGTCAGTTAAATAACTTACTACACTGTTGCATTCCTATACATTGATGATGAACTAGCAAAAAGAGAAATCAGGAAAAGAATCCCATTCACAATTGCATGAAAAAGAATAAAACACCTAGGAATAAACCTAACCAAGGAAGTGAAAGATCTATACTCTGAAAACTACAAGACACTCATGAGAGAAATTAAAGAAGATACCAATAAATGGAAATATACCCCGTGCTCAAGGATAGGAAGAATTAATATTGTCAAAATGACCATCTTGCAATCTGCAGATTCAATGCAATCCCTATCAAAATATCAACAGCATTCTTCAATGAACTAGAGCAAATAATCCTACAATTCATACGGAACCACAAAAGACCCTGAAAAGCCAAAGCAATCCTGAGAAGGAATAATAAATCCAAGGGGATTATGCTCCCCAACTACAAGCTCTACTACAAAGCCATGTAATCAAGACAATTTGGTACTGGCACAAGAACAGACCCATAGACCAATGGAACAGACTAGAGAGCCCAGATATAAACCCAACCATATAAGGTCACTTAATATACAATAAAGGAGCCATAGACATACAATGGGGAAATGACAGCCTCTTCAACAGCTGGTGGTGGCAAAACTGGACAGCTACATGTACGAGAATGAAACAGGATTATTGTCTAACCCTATACACAAAAGTAAACTCAAAATGGATCAAAGATGTGAATATAAGACATTAATTAAACCATCAAACTCCTAGAAAAAAATACAGGCAAAAATCTCTTGGACATAAACATGAGCGACTTCTTCATGAACATACCTCCCCGGGCAAGGGAAACAAAAGCAAAAATGAACAAATGGGACTATATCAAGCTGAAAACCTTCTGTACAGCACAAGACACCATCAATAGAACAAAAAGGCACCCCACAGTATGGGAGAATATATTCATAAATGACAGATCCAATAAAGGGTTGACATCCAAAATATATAAAGAGCTCACCCACCTCAACAAACAAAAAGCAAAAAATCCAATTAAAAAATGGGCAGAGGATCTGAACAGACACTTCTCCAACAAAGAAATTCAGATGGCCCACAGACACATGAAAAGATGCTCCACATCACTAGTCATCAGAGAAATGCAAATTAAAACCACAATGAGATATCACCTCACACCAGTAAGGAAGGCTACCATCCAAAAGACAAACAACAACAAATGTTGGTGAGGATGTGGAGAAAGGGAAACCCTCCTACACTGCTGGTGGGAATGTAAATTAGTTCAACCATTGTGGAAAGCAGTACGGAGGTTTCTCAAAATGCTCAAAATAGACACACCATTTGACCTAGGAATTCCACTTCTAGGAATTTACCCTAAGAATGCAGGAGCCCTGTTTGAAAAAGACAGATGCACCCCTATGTTTATCACAGCACTGTTTATAATAGCTAAGAAATGGAAGCAACCTAAGTGTCCATCAGTAGATGAATGGATAAAGAAGATGTGGTACATATACACAATGGAATATTATTCAGCCATAAGAAGAAAACAAATCCTACCATTTGCAACAACATGGATGGAGCTAGAGGGTATTATACTCAGTGAAATAAGCCAGTGGGGAGAAAAACAAGTATCAAATGATTTCACTCACCTGTGGAGTAAGAGCAAAGCAAAAACTGAAGGAACAAAACAGCAGCAGACTCACAGAACCCAAGAATGGACTAACAGTTACCAAAGAGAAAGGGATTGGGGAGGATGGGTGGGAAGGGAGGGATAAGGGGGAAAAAGAGGCATCACAATTAGCACATATAATGTAGTGGGGGGCAGACCCGGGGAAGGCAGTATATACAGAGAAGAGAAGTAGTGATTCTATAGCATCTTACTATGCTGATGGACACAGTGACTGTAATGGGGTATGTGGTGGGGACTTGATAATAGGGGGAGTCTAGTAACTATAATGGTGTTCATGTAATTGTACATTAATGATAGCAAAAAAAAAAAAACTTACTACATACAAGCCACTTTGATGATTTATTATTTTTCTGATTACTTTTTTACTAAAAAGGTTTCAAACATACTCAAGTAGAGAGAAGAATATAAAGAACATGCTTGGCAGTCAGTTTCATCATTTATTAACATTCTGCCTAACATAAAGCATTTTGTGCAGTATTGCCATGCAGCAAATACTCAAATGCACATCCCTCAACCTCGTCTACTAGTAACATTTTCCCTTAAAAGCAAATTATCATGCTGCCCAGATACCATGAAATCCCATGCATTAATGTATTAGTTAACTTTGCCATCTGCAGTTTACACTGTTATGTACCACAGAACCTCAGAACCACAGCAACTCCACACATACTATATCCCCAACCAATACCAAACACTGCTTTGAAACATTGGAAACACTATCACATTTGAAGCTCTGAATTTGGAATTCTTGGTTTAATCTAAGGAAGTGCCAGAACAGAAATATACCAGCAAATTGTGCAAACTGGATGCTTTTACTGCAAGTTCTACAGCTGCAAAGATTCTCACTAGGGCTACATATAAAGCAGGGATACAAACATTCTCTGTATTTAAGTGAAAGTCACACAACTGTATTTTGGCAATAGCCCCTTAAAAGGCCCACCCACATTCTTTGAGCAGTCCCACTTTTCGAGAGTTATTTTAACAAGTGGCACATACAGAGATAAAAAAATATTCCCTGCAACATACTTGAAGTGAAGAACAGAGATGTTTTTAAAAATGTATGGTACATATATTACCACATCGCAATTTACATTTAACACAATTAAGTAACATAGGAAGATATTAATAATATACTAAAAGGAGAAAGGAAGTCATAAAGCAATATGAACAGAGCAATAGAAACTTACAAGTCATTGTAAGTACAGAAGGAAATCTGCCAGACACAGTCAACTAACCATTTCTTATACATCTGTTACTTTAAGGTTTAACATTATGAATCACGCAAGAATTGGATAAAGGCTGTATCTGTTTCAATTTCTTTCTGACCACATTACTGCAAACACTATATATATGAAAATATTAGAAGCCAGAGAGCTACCATGTTCCTGGCCACTAATGAGTTAAGAAAGTTTAAGAGAAAAACTAGAAGGTATGAACCAATTCCAAATACTCTAATATGGCTATTTCAAAGTGGTTTTCAGACTACTAATTTCTTTCAAGAACTACTATTTCCCTTTGTACATGACTTTATATGCCCCTGCCACCTTTGTATGGTAATATTTAACTATAGTTGGTTGACACAAACCTTAGGGTAAATGTTGTACATTATACTCACTGATACTACTGGATATTTCTTCCTATTAAAAAAGAAATCCTTGCTATGTCTCACTGGGAAATAAAAGTCATTCATCACCCTATTCATCTACCCTTGGTATATAAGGAAATTTTAGTTTCTTATAGCCACATTATATAAAAGGCACTCACCACCAGCAATTTTAAGAAAATCTTCACCTGTTGCTTTGTAAACCTAAGAAAAGAAATGAAAGGGGCATTAAATATAGTTTCCAAACCTTCAAATGTTAATATTCATTCAAGCTGGCAAGGGTCTCATAAAGACATACCTCAATGTACCGGCTCCCCATGTGATGTTTGTGCCTCTGTAGTGCTAGGTCTCGGTGTTCCTCACTTACAAACCTAACTAGAGCTTCTCCATTCCTTCGCCCCTGTGCATTCAGACAAAGTGCTGCACCTCCCCTTTGAAAAGAATAGAACAGATGGCCGTAAGGGGGAAAAAATACAGTGAGGAAAGATGATGTGACACCCATTATCCTTTTGGGGTTGTTAAGTAAAACAGATTCAAGAAAACCAACTTGGCAATATTGAGTCCTTTGAAGAATCTTGCAATATCTTGATCTGAAGACTGCCATGGTAAACCTCGCGCCCTGACGACAGTGTTGTCATCAATAAGTTCCATCTTGCTGCTGTGGATCAAGCAAAATTTCAGGTTACATGATTAATGCTCGTAAGTCTGACCTATTACATGCTGCAAGACCATTTCATTTGCCTAGTTTGGTGTTCAGACAGACTTGAATTACTGACTGATTTACTTCATTACATCAAATATTAACTGAGCATAGTTTTCTTAGTGGTTCACTATCAAAAGGCAGCTGCCTATGCAGCTCCAACACAGCTAGGTGGCCCAGCAAACCACCTAACAGCTGAGCTCCTGCTTGCTTTCCACAAACTCAAAAGGGCCTACAATCAATTCACAGGACATCATCAAGTTCACCCAACACCCTGACGGCCTGTAAGCGCAAGTATCCTGTAAGTTCCAAAGATAGGTTTAAATTCATTCTCAGATCTGACCAGTATACCAGTGGGATTTCAATTCACTTTGACAGCAAAACTTAAGATTAAGCAGGCAATTAACCCACCTCAGGAAGGTGTGCATATAGTCAGAAATCTGCCATTTAAATCTCTCCCTATCAAACAAGGGAGCCATCACAGGGAGTATTTATGGAAATGCTTGGGAGTTCCCCCCCTTAGTGAGTCATTTGCAAATCACCTATTATCTATTTTGACACCTTTGATGTTCTATTCCTACCACAGTCATACTTTCAGTACTCCCAGACATTTTCCTAGTGAGTCACTTCTACAACTAAAGAGGCCTCCAAGTCTCTCTATGAGTGAAGGTGTCAGGAGTTTCTGTTCCCTCACTTAGCATCAGGCAATCACATGTAATTCACTACAATTATTTACAAACTTGACAGGTCCACCTGCGATCATAAACAGAGGTACCACTATTTCATACTCCTCCCCAGTCATTCCCTTTGTTTCAGAGTAGAGGCTGATAGAACATATTTAAAATTATCTCAGTAAAAATCTTGTGAACTCTTCTAAAGCCTATGATTTTTCTTTTGGAAGTGTTCTAGTGAGAGGGTGGGCAGTTCAGAGAGGCTAAAATGAGAATCACAGACACAAACATATGATGTACTAGGGATTTAAATATTTCATTAAAGTTTAATCCCAAACCCAAGTTTACATTAAGATACAAGTATCTTTTATAAATGACCTAATATTAAAAAGCAGACAGCCAAAAGGTTTAATGAAATTACTAAAATACAAGAGGCGGGAGGTATAATATGAATAAAACACATCAAATGGAATAGTACTCAAATACTTACCAAGTGCCACTTTCAAATTTGTAATTTACTCTCTCTGGATCTGAAAACCTGTGACCTAAAAATGAGAACAGACAAGTCATCATTTTAGCTGTTAGAGGGACAAAGCTGCAGGAGGAAATTTGAAAGAATACATGAGGGAAAGAAGATGGGATCAAAATTCTAGGTCTACGCTGTTACAACAGCAATACTTACTGTAAGGTTCTGAAATCATTGCTAAAATTATATTCCCCATATCTTCAACATGAGAGGCTCCATACCGAGAGACTGAACTAGTCTTCTCAAGATTTAAACCTGGGAGATTAAGTTAAAGAAACATTTTGGGGAGGCAAAATAAGGTTGCTTCTAACCCAAAATTAACCGCTCACGGAGCCAAAAGGCATCCAGATTGACAAGTCTTTGAAATCTCACAATGGCTGCTTCCTGTCAGTCTGGACTTCACCCATACTTCCTGAGTCTCCAATTACCCTCTTGGGTAAAATAGCCAAATCAATCCTGTCCTGAGGTACTGCCACTAATAAAATTTCTGTTTATTGAAGTAGCAAATACATAAATACCGAGCACGTTCATTTAGTTTCAAACCAGTAAGCAATACAACAAAGTAAACAGAACCTTTCATCCTATTTATCTTTACAACATACACAAGGCAATGACCATGCCTACTTATAAGTAACATCAGTCTAAAGAGGCACAATAATTTGCAATCACAATATAAGCTAGTCACAGGGATGGTCCTATAGCACAGAGAATACAGTCAATGACTCTGGAATATCTTACTACGTGTATAGACAATAACCACACTTAGAGGGGCTGAGGATTTAGTATGGTAACTGTTGAACCACTGTTGCATATCTGAACCCAACATAGGACTGTGTATCAATGATACTTTAAAACAAAGTAACATTAGTCAAGACCATGAAGTATTAAATGACTCTTTTTAGCCTAATATTAAAAAAGATATCTCAGAGTACTGATGACACTATTTCTATTATTCTACTTTTACTCAGAACTTCCTTTCTAGAAGATTTTTAGAGCTGCAGAGTATGGCCAGTCTTGGATGGCAGCAAATACTTGTCCTTTTTTTTCTTTTCTAAGGTGTGTACTTTATAAAGGACAAGTATTAAGGTTTTTTGTTTGTTTTGCAACTGCTTGTCCTTTGAGAATAAATTTGTAGGAACAATTCAAGCTCTCACAGCCAAGACTGGCCAATGTGGCTCTACAAGTGAGCACACTAGGCAAGCTTCTAAGAAATCCATTGCTCAAATCAGGTTTTAAACCAGCAGGGATTTCCATCAAGTTTTACAGATTTGAAATCTAAAATAAGCACATAACTTGTCCAAATAATTACCTTAGAAAGCTAATAGGCACTAAAATATTTCTTTGTTTTTAAGTTTTAATGCTATAGTCACATTTTGTATTATGTATAAATCAGCCTAAGTTTTGTAATGTAGTACAACGCATGTAACAGATAATACTATGGGACTCTATTTCAGATTTAAAATGAAAACAGCCACTTGGGTGGTGGTTACTAGAATGTTTGCCTTATTTTATAGTTTTCTGACTAGTATTTTATAATGGAGGTAAAAAATGAAGACAGATGTTAAAAGTCCAAAGTACTACTTTATTGCAAACGAAGAGGATAGAATGTTAAAATAATTACACAGTTCCCTCCCACCAAGAATTACAGCCAGTGATCTGAAGAGTCAGTCAATAAGTAATATCCTTTTCCATTTTCAGTTTAAAATCACTTTCCATTTCAGCTTCCTCTGCCTTTTCTCCAGTAACGAGGCACTGCAATGTGCTAGGCAAATGCACTGGTCCCTCAACCAGCTTAGCTCTCTGTAGTTAAATATACTTCATGTAGAAATGCAGCCGTATGTTCCTTGGCAAATTACTTCACCCGACTAACCTTCAACTCATCTATAAAGCCAAACCTGTAATAATTTTTACCACATTGGTTTTTTTTTTGTGAAGATTAAATGACATAAAACAAACCCAGGGCACAATGCAGCATTTAGTAAGTGAATTACTGCCCCTTCATCCTAGAATCCACAGGTGACAAAATCTCTTATCCCACAATAATCACACTCTGAGGGCTAAAATTTATAACTAAAGAAATCTGAACTCACTATGTGCCTATTTATACACTCACAGGATAATCATCAAGCTAAAATGGTTGAGTTTCTGCAATTCTGCCCTTTACATCACCTAGAAATGAAAACATATGTGTTGCCCACTGAGAGATCAGAAAATCAATCCCATGAGATGTTCTAGCAGCAGAGCAATGACCACCGAGCAGTGTTATTAAAATCATTTTGTCTGCAGAAGGCTGTACTATAAAGTATTCATCCAGTACCATGTTCAAAGACTGAGGACAGAGCAGAAAAGCAAGAGTCAGAGGATGAAGACACACTGGGGAGACAAATGCCCTCAATTTTCTGGGAGAGTCAGGGGTCCTTTACGGGTGTTTACAGGACTCAAAAAAACTAGCTATGACTAGCCTTAGTTTATCATCCAAACTCTGCCACTGAATGATGCAATTCTAATGATTTCAGCCTTCTCAGGGCCTACAACGGAGTAAAGAGAAAAGCATACAAGAAACAGAGACCAACCCCACTGTGTAAGCCACTGTTTCTCAACCGTGGCACTACCAGCATATAGGCCAGGTAATTCTTCGTTGGGAGTGAGTGTCTCCTGCGTACTATGTACTATATAGGATTTTTAGTAACATGCTGTCCTCCATGCACCCCCAGTTATGACAATAAACGCCCCCAGACATTGCCAAATATTCCCAAGTGGGCCAAAATCACCCCAGGGTGAGAACCACTGATGTGAGCTAACAGTTCCCAGTAACTCCAACTTGACCCCTTGCCACACGTGGAATCTTCAGAGCAAGCTCTTACCTTTATGAGACCGTTACTGGAAAGAGATTTTTTCAAGAAAGTTGGCCAAAGAGATGCCACGTAAGGACAAGCCCAATGCTGTGTTCAAACCCCTATGATCAGACACACACACCTCCTCTCCCTTAAGTGGAAGAAAAATAGAGCATGAGCCAACTCTTGATCTTCAGCCTGTTTTTGTGCAGTCCCCAGAGAATAGATTATACATTTTTAAAGGATAGTAGAAAAGAAGAACATGAGCAGAGACCATATGTAGTCTGCAAAATTCTAAAATAATGAGTATCTGGCTCTTCACTGCAAGTTTGCTGACCTGGAGGAATGGAGATTGCCAAAAGATGGCCAAAAACAGAGAACGTCACAGGAATGTTTATCACATCATAACTTTCCATCCCAAAACAGAATATTGGGGGAAAAGTTAAACTTTGGAAGAACAGGAGTGGGAAAGTTAATTCCATTCAAACCACTGTTTTCTCTCTTCTATAAATAATAAGAGGTACCTAGCCTTCTCATTTCTGTGTAGCTAACTCCCCTACAAAGCCCTCTTACCTTCCTGTTCCCCTAACCAAATTAGACCATGGGTAACTCCCACCCAACATCAGAACCTTCCATAAGTGCTCTGGACCATGACATTCAGTTTAAGAGATGATTAGATACTATTTCTAGTACTACTCTCTTCTCAAGTATATTATACATTTCCTGGGTGTAGGCCCTACCTTCCTCTGATCACTTTCCATCTATCACAACTCTTATTCCTTCTAAGAATTTGACATAAAAGATGGCTTATTAAATACCATTTTGTGCCAAACACCATCTATTTCCTCCAATTTTTGCAACAACCCTGCCTGGTAGATAATAATAAAACCAAACAGATGAAGAAACTAGGATTTAGAGAAGTTCTATAACTGACCCCATCTCCCAGTCAGTAGGTTTCGGAACTGAAATTATAATACAGCTCTGATCCAACATGTGTAACACCCTGCACAAAGATAAGCTTTGCTTAATTTGTTTCGGGCAATGATAATTTGTGAGATGATTTCTAAAGGTATGTAAAAAAGCCAAGTGAAATAGATTAAAGGAAAATGCAAAGTACCCTGTCTGTGTTGACATGAATTCACAGCTGAAGATTTAAATGAATTGTGCTTTTCAATGAAGAGTATATTCTAGACATCTAAGTTGGCTTCACATAACATGTCCCAACATGTTTCCCTTCAAGTCATCATACACCAAGATCAGCCGCTCTAAATGCCTAATAACTTTTAAAAGTCACCCAACCTCCTGCATGCCCGAATGACAAGCCCCCTCCCACCCACACGCCCCTCTTTGGGAAGTTTGTTCAATCCATAATCTTTACCTGAATTTAACATGAATAACAAAGGGGAATGAGAAAAAAGTTTTAGTACCAAGTCTTTCCTGTATCAATTTACAATTAAATATTGAATTACTTGCTGCACGTCTGATCTTGAGGGAAGGGAAGATGAGTCTATGCCTCCTGATTTATGGCTCATCATGCAATTTACTCATTCTGCCCTTGAGGAAGTCACAACAGCACCAACAGGCTTAGCCAGCTTTACAAACGACAGTGCCATGAGGAAACGAGAGAAGGTGAAGCTAAACATGGTGGGAACAAAACTAACATCTCAGGCTACAATTGAGCTAAGTGCTCCATTTATCTGAAGCTAGGGAAGTCAGGGGATATTGGCCTGCAATTAACAGGAGGAATGTTTTCCTTAGCGCCACCTTTAGGGAAACAGATTTCAGGATTTAACCTACACCTACGTTAGCTGAAGGTGGAATTCAGAAATTTTAAAGTCCATCAATATTAGCTTATCCACTCAAAAGAGTTACCTTTTCTGACTGCCTAAAATGGACAAATTAGTTTCCAGATTTTAACTTGTAAATAACATCATTTTAAACTAAAAATTTAATTTTTATCTAAAAGAATCAAACATACAAAGTAACATATTATGGAACAATTAAGTAAAGTTATGTTACAATTACATTCCAATTCAAAATTCCAACTCAAAGCCATTTTTTCCTGCTATAGATCCCTCAGAAGATAAATTTGTTTCTTCCCCTTCTACTGCTTACTCCCTTATTTATAGCATAGCACAACTGCCTCTACTGCCAGACATATTACAATAAAATACCTATGCTAGTGAACAAAAGAATAACAAACATAAAATATGGCAAAAGAAAAGCTGAATTAGTACTCCAACAGGAACTGAATTTCCTGCAATTACGTAAAGGGAGTCAAAAATGACCCTTAAATGAGTTGCATAATTTAAAAAATAGGTTCTGTAAATAATCTGCTGTATTTTAAAGTGAACTTCAAAAGAAGCAAATCCAGAATGCCACAGTAAAAGAATGTAAGTAGGAGCCATGGCAACAAAATCT